CCTCCGCCCGGCAGCACGCAGGGCCTGCCTGCCCTCGGAGCAGGGGGGCCAGGCAGGAGCAGGGCCCTGGGTTGTGACCCCGCGGTGTGCCGGAGCCTCCACGGGAGGAAGAGCTTGCTGCAAACAGAGCCTCTCCTTCCTTGCAGCCGTCTCTTCTCCTGCTCCCACCCGTCTGAATGGTGGAGCAGGGATTGTTTCCATCGGCACTCCCCACAGAAGGCACATCGACTCCTTTTCCCCACCCAGCATCTGACTTTTGATTCAAACTAAATAGTAGAACTAGTTGAAACTGAGCTTGCCTCTTACCTCTCAGGTTTGTGCTGATACTACTGTCACATGTTGAATCATTTAGGTTGGACAAGACCTTTAAGATCATCAAGTCCAACTGTAAACCTAAGACTACCAATTCCACCACCAAACCATGCCCCCAAGTGCAAGGGCTTTCAGCTGACAGGAAAGCACTGCATCTTGTTCACCCTCTCAGTCACAGCAGCACATCACTAAAAATAGGTTTGAGTGCAGAAGCGTGGCATAACAAGCAGTTGTTACAGTGAGACTTTATATCCCTGTCAATGTGGGGATCATGGAAGGCAGCTAGACACCTCTCCCTTACACACCCTCAGCTGTATCTGAGGGCAGGTCTCACAGTGGCTGCTGTCCAGGAGCAGCCACAACTGTCTCTCCCACTTACCTGGCTGTTGTTTGTCTTTTCTTACTTGGTACAGGAACCCACCATCTTGGCACAGCATGAAAGTGCCTAATCAGCTGGCATGAAGGAGCGATGTTGAAGCCAGTCCCAGACTTCAAAAAACTTTTTGCTTTCATCCCTACCTCAGCCAGAACACACAGATCTTTTCACCAGCTGCTTTCAGTATTTCAGCCCAGAACAAGGGTCTGCCTCAGTTTCAGGTACACCCCACCGTGTTAAACCCATCTAGCCCAAAGGAGATAGCAATGGTTAATTTCTTCCTGGAAGGCAGAAGTACAGTTCTCTTGTCAGGGGAGAGAAAAGTACTTTCCCTAGTACTTTTCCCTACTTTAAAAGCTTGTATGTGGTAGATAACGTTACAGAAACAAGGGTCAGGGAGAGGTCTGGAAGGAGAAACAACAGTCTTAGTAAGCAGAGAGAAGGGGAGGTGTTTCATGGTGGAAAAGAAAACAGAAAGGCGAGATCAGCAGAGACTTTTCACCAGAGAGACTTCATTCACAGCATGCAGACTACTGGCCTGCCCTTGCTGTTCATTTAGAGGAAACCACCAAACTTTTCTTTAATAGCAGTCATCCATTTTATAGCGGTATCTTAAATTCAGGTACTTATCATAGTCTACAAAGGTACTAGAAGATAATTAACCAACTCTAATGAAAGGGAAGAGAAACCTACATACAGAGAAATTAACTGAAGTAGTTCAGTAAACAGATTGTTTGTTTAAACAAGACTTTATTGAAGACACTTTAGGAGTTTATGTACAAAACAAAATTCCCACCCCCATACCAGGATGTTAGTCACCCACTGGGAACAAAGCAAGTGCCTGGTGTGTGCTGTCAACCTGGGGACATTCAGAGGTTCCTGAGGAATGTACAGAAATACCAAATTCATGTTGTAGTTTAGAGCCGGGCAATTTCAGCCCTGTCTCAGGACTGAAGGAAACCAAAGAACCTTTTCCAGAGACATGTCTACAGCAGACTGAACATACTGGAATGTGACAGCCTACGCTGGCCTTACTCTGAGGTCAGGTCATTTACTTCTGCAAAGAGCGAGAGGCCCACTTTGGTTTTGGAAGTGAAGAGGAAGCAGCCCCTGGATGCCCCTTGCAGTTTTTAATCTATTTTAGATCGTTCCAGGAGATACCCATCAGTAAGAGCACAGTAGTATTTGCAGGAAGCATTAGAACAGAGCAGTAACAATACCAAGTAAAAGAGTCAGCCACCTCACTTTCCAAATACACCTAGAGAGAGGCTGGATATCAGACCGGCTATTTCAACTAGCGTATAAGAAAACCCTAGAGACAGACATTAGTGGCGCAAGTTCAATAGTGACTGACGTGCTATTCCTGTAGTATACTGTGCCCTCCTACCATGGCAGGGTTTCTCCTTGCCAGTCCAGGAAGGAACCATTTTCTTTTTCACCAAGACGGTCCAGAACAGAGAGAATACCTGGGATAGCCTCTTGCACCTGCATGGGAGCCTAGAGAAAAATCAAGCTTAGATCATTACTGGGAATAGCCTACAGAAGAGAATCAAATGCATTTCAGGAGTTACTAGAATCAAGGGGGATGTATTTTCGTGTTTCATAGTGTGCCTCTGCAGCACATGGAAGTGTGTACTGTGCAGTGGGTTCTTGCTCAAGGGTTGGGACAACAAGGGAGTCAGTCATACTTTCATATTTTCAGAGGGATGTCACTTACCATGTTTCCGCCCATGTCTGTCTGAAGCCAGCCTGGATGCAAAGAAATACAGAGAATTCCATCCGATTTCAAGTCTGCAGCAAGACACCTGGTGATCATATTCAGTGCAGTCTACAAGAGTGGAAACCATCTGTTAGCGTGCTACCTTTACGAACCTTGAGCAAGGCCTTAAGCCAAGCTAATTGGCACCTCCCTTCCACCACACTGTCTCCTGACAAATGAAGGGGCAGTAACAATATCACAGTAACTTATCCAGACTTAGTGGAAGCTTCATTCTCAGAGATATCTGTTAAGAGGAGCATTGTGAAAGCTCTATCGCCATAAGCTTACTGCCCAAAGTTGACACTAAGTTATGATGGAAGATAAAGTAGCATTTGATACTCCTAAGGAGCTGTGGGGAAAATAATATTGGCATAAGGACTCTGTTTTTCTGCAATAATCACTACACAAACATTCAGGTTTTTACTTCTGAACAGGGAAAACAAGCATATTAACAGCTTATGAGTAGGTGGTGTAGGAGAAACTGTACGTCTGACCTTGACTGTTCGTACAAACGCAGTCTCTGGATGTGGCAAAACTAAAAACTCCACCTCTCACTAACTAACACTACCATGTAGAGGTCAGCACACCTTTTGTTGAGTTTCATGCCTGCTATCTTGCTTGGACTGGAGAGAAACACAGCTAACAGGACACACACTTGATGGCATCAGTTCTTCCCTGGTTACCAAGACCCTCTGAAATGGATCTGTAGTAGTGATGGAGCATTTGCGAGTCTGTTCTTAAGAAGCTGGCATGCCTGCTCCAGATGTATGGTTTTCACAGGTCCCATTTCCACCCACATGCAGAACAAGAACAGTTCCTCTGTCAGCCTGTCCAAGGAGGTGCAGCACACCTCACATCATTGTCTTAAGCTCAGAGTGGTCTTTACCTCACAGGCTTGCCTTCACCCGGTAAGCACAGCCCAGGGAAGCCTACAAACCTTTGCTATCCTGTAGGGATAGACCTTGAGGAACATCTCATTTGCCTGGACGAGTTGCATGGAGGCAGCAAGAGAGGACATATTGATAATAGCAGCTCTATGGCAGCCCATTCCTGTGCTCAGCTGGGCTGCCTTCCTCAGAAGGGGTAGAAAAGCCTGTGAAAACAAGAGTTTGCTTTAATTCAGTCAGCTTGCTCTTGGGCCATTCAAGGCAAGCCAGACTCTCACATTCTGCTCTAAGAATTGCAGTACAACTTTATGCCACCAGCACAGAATGGTGATGGCTCCCAGACAAGCTGACCATAGGAAACCTTTCTATAACAGCCAGCTGCAAGGACCTTCAGTCTCCTCTGCCCACCTCCTATACCCAACCTGTCCACTCAAGTGACCTCATACTGGATGGATTTAAAGAAAGATCCTTGAGAAGAAGGATCTCTTGCTGCTCTCTAGGCATGCAGTTTGATATCAGAACTGTATCTGTGCAGTTCCAAGGTGACAAATGCTTTGGTTACATGTCCAGCTCACTAGTGGAAAAGCCTCTTGTAGTACCATAGGTTAAGCACATTCCTCCCAATTCTTACCTTGGTGACCATCAGCTGGGCAACTGTATTGGTTTCATAAATGGTGAGCATTGTCTCTGCTGTGACTTCTTCCAAGGAAGCAAGCACATTGATGCCAGCATTGTTAATGAGGCAGTTCAAACCTTTGTCTCCCACAATTTCTTCCACTTCCTTGACTACTTTCTTGATGCTGTTTTCACAGACCACATCTGCACAGAGGAGCCAAGAATAGCCACAGTGAACAGGGAACTGTGTGGTTCAAATGCCATCTGTCACTACACAACACATGCTAAACCAGAGCTAAGGCATTAGTCTGAATGGGGACGTTTAGGCAGCACCCAGAGATGACAATACACACAAGACTTTACACAGACTGTGTTTCCCCAGTGTTATCTTAAGATGAGGGTGATCATTTCCAGCTGCTGCAGGTGGCCATGTACAGCTACTGATCACCCAGGAGACCAGTTTCTTAAGATGCTCGCACCTGACGTAGTTGGACATACTTCTGTATAAGTCCTTTACTCACCCAGTTGGAGGAGCTTGATATTGCTATATTGCTTGCTAAGCTGCTGGAGTTCCTAGGAAGAAGAAAATATTTGGGTTATCTTTTATATATACATATATCTATCTTTCTCTCTCTCTCCATGGCTATTACATAAAACCTCCAGAACTGTAACTGCCATTTATTTTCATAGTTGGACCGAAGGCAGTGACACTACTTTGTTTTCCAACCTGCTGAGCAGCTTTCCTGAGAGCAAGGTCAACTGCTCCAAAAAAGCGGACTCTTCACCTGCTTAGTTAAGATACCAGCACGCTAGATTACGGAGTTAGTTCTCCGTATGTACAACTCGAGGGTGTGTCTGCAGTGTAATCAAAGGTCTTCGATCAAGCAGCTACCGTTGTGAGTTCCACAGCAGACCCGGTGCTCAGACTGCATTCCAAGCCAGTAATTCCCCACTTCTGTAAGAAAAGTGTAATTCTCCTGAAGCTCAGCTAGTGCTAGACATCAATTCAGGGCAACAGGAATGCTTAAGAAAAGCCGTTTGGAATTACTGTTTGCAGGAAAAGTTTCCTAGCAATTTTCCCATGGAAATCTGGTTTCTCAGCGCTCTCATTAGCTCCGGTTCTTGTAACTGAAGGTAAAGCCCACATGAAATCGGTTACATGCACCGCAACTGTCCACGAGAACAATTCTCTCTGCTAGATAGCTGTCGTTCAGTCATCTGTCTACTACCTCTCAGTAGGAGAATGACTAGTGTTCTTGGAGAAATTTAGTACTCTACTGGTGTTGCTGCTGGACAAAGTGTGTCCAAATTGGATTTATAGGCCCAGCTGGAATACTTAGGTTTCTGTGCCATGTAGCCAAGTGGGAAATGTGGCCAAACACAACAGATGGATTACATACTCCCAGCCGTGTTTAGGAGACTGAGCAACCCCGGCCAAACATTCCAGCTCAAGCAAATCCATTTCTTTAGGAGCCTTTTGGGAATCGGGGTCAGGAGTGCTGATTTTTAAAAAATACTTCTTTGCCACTTGGAGACACTTAGGGACTCCATGTCCTCTGTCAGGCTATAATGCATTACATCTTTTACCTCAGTTCATGCTCTGCAGGATTCTCTCCAGGCTTGTTTAAAGAATTTGTTCTCCCACTGAGGACAATCTACAACTGCAGTTAAGGCCATTAAGGGGAGGGGGAAGGAAGGGGAACAAGTCAGAAGCAGAAAACCAGAAGACATTCCTTCCCTTGGACAGGGCTTAATGGGACAGTGTTCAACAGACTAGAGGCCCAGAACACACTATCTTGTTTACTGATAGTGAGGCATGAAATAGTTCTGCCATGTCAAGGCCTGCAATAATTATGTGGCTTTGGACTGCCCACTGGACTTCAGTTTGACAGTATCACTTGATAATAAACTCCAGAAGTGCTCTGGCTTCTCAAAAGTTTGTTCATTTATTTATAGTCCGATTGCTTTGCTCTGACAGAAACAAGCTACTAACTTTTGCTAAAAGGCCAGAGGTATTTTGTGTAGTGACAGCAACCGAGAGGTTTCCGAAGTAAATAAGCAATACGTCCAATTAAGAACTCCAAACACTGTAGCATTAAGCGTTCTCCAGAACATAAACAGCATGAAATTACAATTGCTGCATGCAAATCAGGTTTAAAATTCAATGGCTTTTCCATTTAGTTAATTACTTAGTTAACAAGTGACTCCCACTTCAGTGGTTTAAGTTCCTTGGAAGTCGCTTCCAGGCATAAAGCTAACTTAGACAGCTTTGGTCTTCAAGAATGTTACTCTGCCTGATATAAGCTGAAAAATCCAGGTAGGAAACCTAAAAATTGCAGAAAAGCCTATT